GGGGTCTTGGGGGAAGTCCCGCCGTCAGAGTTGGCGGCACCAGCCGCAAGGCCTTCGCAATACTACAAATTTGGACGCCTGAAGGTACGGAAAAAAAACACGGTACCCAGCAACACAGATTGTCCAAAACGGACAGCGGCCGCTGTTGGGCAGGCGGCCGTCTGTTTCAGATGGACAACGTGCGCGGCGACACCGACAGAGAGCCATTTTCAAAATGAACAGAAAACTATGTTGGCTTTTGTGCCCATGCATTACATACAGATTTCGATCCTCCAGGACATGAGCGGCGCTGACCCACCTCGAAGCGACTCCAGCGCACTTCGCACGCCAGAAGGGGGGTCAGCGCCGACCATCCCAAATCACGCAGACCAACGGAATTTTATGTTGATGCAATTGTGTGATCCTCCATCCTCCTCCTCATCATCACCAACATCATCATCGCCATCATGGTCACCGTCAACAGTATCATCACCATCACCAACATCATCATCCTCATCGTCATCTCACAATCATCACCTCATCATCATCTCCTCCTCCTCGTCATCATTATCAACATCATCGAACGCACAATCATCATTATCATCATCATCCTCATCATCATCAGCATCACCATCCTAATCAACATCACCATCCTCATAATCATCATTAACATCATCATCATCATCATCCTCATGCTCATCATCATAATCCATAATCCTCATCATCATCAACATCATCCTCATCCTCATCACCCTTACCAACATCATCAACATCATCAACATCAACATCATCATCATCATCATCATCATCATCATCATCAACAAGAACATCATTATCAACAACGTCCGTTATGCCTCCGCTGTCCTCGGCAGCATCTTCATCATCAACATACCATCGGCAATGTCAATATCATCACCTCTCCTCTTCCATCCTCCTCCACATCCGTCATCCACCTCATCCTTCAACTTTCCTTCCTCCTCCCAGTGCTGGAGTACGGTCACGAGCGACGAACATACCCATATCAATGTCGTCGCGGTGTGGACACCGAAGAAAGCGATCCCCTAAATACGTTCCACTTGGGGCAACCGCGCAAAGCCGCCGTGTAGCCATGGAATCGTGGACGAGGAGTCCAGACCGCGAGGCTATGGATATGAACGGGAGCATAATGTCACGACGACGGCAATGTTCGGAGGTGCAGTGCCCGGGAAATTGGAGGTTACCGCCCCCCCAGAGCCCCAAGTCCTGCCGCAATCCGTGCCCCACAGATCGTCGAACACCACATCGCCAATACGCTTGAACGCGGCAGGAATTTCGGCCAATGCACAGACGCCGCTCCAGAACATATTCAAACATTTTGTCATGTATTGGGAATGTCTATTGTATCTCGACCAGCTCCCGCCAGCCTTCCGCCGGCGGAGACACCCTCGTCTTACTTCTGCCAACTTCCGCTGGCCTTCCGCTGAGGAAGAGAAGACATCTCGGTAACCCCTCGGCCTCTCGAAGATGAGTAGACTTCTCGAGCGCCCGCCCATGTGATGGGGATGAAACCGAATGAGGGAGGGAGGCAGAAGAGACATTAGCTCAAATGTTGGAAGTCCTTGCAATTGTGTTTGGGTCGGCGATGACCCCCCGAACGGGACTCCAGCGCCGATCCAAGGAATCCGCGCGGACCTCCGAAAGTTGATCGTTATGCCGTTTGGCAAACATTCCCGAGGATGCTAAAAATAAAACCACAGAAGCGAGGGAAGGCAAGGGGAGACAAGAGCGACGAAAAGAACCCGGTCTGACGCGAGAAGGCACAGGGACCTTACGCCGCGGCTTACGCGGGCCACCAAGGTGGCACACTGCGGCCTGGAAAACTTACGCACGAATGTCGACGCAGTCGAACCCGTTTTCCGGCCTCGCCCACATGTCACGTCGCCCTGACAGGAATACCGCCCGTGCAGATGAATGCTCTCTCAGCGGCGCGAGCCGGTGCGGCCGCCAGGAGCAGGTGCCACCTCGCCCCGGAGCCCAGCTGCCCGGCAGGAGTCGCCCTCTGGGCGCGGTGCCCTCCGCGAGGTCCGAACATGGAGCGCCTTCGCCTCCCCCCCTCCTCTAAAGGGTAACGTGAGGGGGGAACCAGCTCCAGGGGTGAAACATCAAGCTCGAACAGGCGCTACATCTGGAGATAGGCCCCCGATTGCGAATTTGCACGCTCCTGGGCGGGGTGGGCTATCGGGCCCCTGTCGGCGATGAGTAGGAGATTGGGGGTCCATGCTTCTCCCCCTGAGCCGATCTCGCCAAGGATTCTCGTCTTTTGGTTTTCGGGTCATAACTCGGGTCTCCGGCGGCTGGTCGGGACGAGCCGGGCCCCGAAGCTAGAAAACCGCCGAGAACGCCCGAAAGCATAAAAAATCGTTTCCAAAAAGTCGCCCCCCCCTGAGCCAAACCTTTCCTTCCAGACCCAGCCGTGGCCACCAGGGCGCCTCAGGACGTCCACGAGCCTGCAGCAAGCGAACCCCTGAGCCCATCGCCGCCCCTATCTTTGCCCCCGATCAGCCCCGCGCTCCTGCGGGGGCCTCGCACAGGCGCCCGCGACAGCGGCCATCACAAAGAGAGGCGGCCGCCGGGCCGCCAGGGCGCTGACCGGGCGCGGGGGGAAAAACTGCAGGTATTGAAGCCGAGAGGCTCGGACGTGGGTCGCGGAGGGTAAAGCTTCGGGTCGCGCATAAACAGCCCCACCAGGGAGGGCATTGGATAAGAAACCATTGCCTAAGAAATCCAGGGTCCTGAAGCCCGTGGAACTCCAATCGTGGACTGGCCATGGATATCCCCTCGGCCCTCATCAGATAAGGAGCCCTCCAAGGCCGGAGGTCGGAAGCCTCCTGGGCACAATCCTTAACTAACGCCCCCACGGTAGTCCCGGCTGGCCTCAACAGGCCCCCCGATTATTCCTGGGCGGTCTCAACACCCTGGCGCCGCCTCTGGCGGCGCCCGCCCCAGGGTTGGGGTGTTAAGACCGCCCAGGACAACTCGAGGGGCCTGTCGAGGAACTACCTCGGGTGCTGTCTGTGCACAACTCGAAGCCTGACAACCTCGAGGTTCGAGGCATGAAGATCGAATTTTGTGTGTGTGTGTGTGTGTGTTGCCCCTTCTGGGCCTCCAAGGGGCTTCTCGTCGCCACGGCTGGGCTCCCGTCGGGACTCTGGTCAAAACGCACCCCTGTGTGGGTCTGGGGGGGGCTTGCACGTTTGAAGTTTGAAGCCTGGGACCGGGACGAGCACTGGACACGAGGTATACGAACGCGACGAGGAGGTGCACGGGCTCGCGGGAGCTCGGAGCTGGGCGCCTCTCAGCCTGGACTCTGAATGCGGAGAGCGGCGAACGCCGGGCAGTGGAGGCCAGAACGCCTCGAGCGAGCTCCACCTGCAAGAGCGGGCATACGGTCAAGCACAGAGATAAGGAAACGTCCACCAAAAAACTTGGCCCGCGAATCTCAAGCTCCGCATGCGATGCCTGATATGCTTCCTCCTCCTCCTCCTGAACAGGGCCTTGCCCAACTCTGGTGTTAGAATATTCCAGACTGTGCCATGCTGGGCCGTATGCATGGGCAGTTGGAGGCAGCCTTGTTCGTGCGAGTACCTAACGGTCGGCCCCTCACACCTGTAACATTCAATCTAAAAGCGCAATGCTATCATTGCGGAAGTAACAACTATGCGGTGTAAACAATGTCGTGAAATTTATGCCGTGTAGGCTGTGCGGTGTGAGTTTAAGAAGTGAAAGATGTGCGGTATAAACTATGTGGTGTCCGATATGCCGTGTAAGCTGCGCGGTGTGAACTAAAGGTGGAAGCAATGGGTTGTAAGCGACGTTGTGTACTATTTGCGGTGTACGCTACTGCCATGGAAATGATCAAGCATCGGATCTCCTTAGAAACCTGGGCCAACTTTCGATCAACATACTGAACAAACGCCAGGCCAGCCGCGCGTGCGCTGCCCCGTACATTTGCAGGGGACCAAACAACTGGGCCCGATTAACCGAGGCCGCCGAATAACCCCGCTGGGCCAAAGCGAAAGCGCGAGGTTCCTCAACGATCGGCGTAACTGTATGTGGTAAACAAACACCCCCAAGCGCGGGGAACGCACGAGGCGGCAAGAACGGCAACATGGCGCAACCCTGGTATAGCCCACTTCGCGCCCACGGGGCGCCCACGGGTGGCACGGGCGGCCACGGGGTACAACCCCAAATGCGGGGCGCCCACGAGGCGGCACGGGCCGCAACGTGGTGAAAACCCGGAATACCAACCCATTACATGACAGAGTATGAATAAGAACCCCTAAGTGCAAACACTGTCCGGGGGGCAAGGTCGTCCCACGCGTCCATAAACCCTTAGGAACATGCCAGAATGCAAGGACGCTACCACCTGGCAAGCCTGGTCACAGAAAAAGACAGCGGGGGCATATAGCTGCTCAGAGTGGCAGCAGCCATGTTCCAAGTCTGCGAGGGTCACAATTGCAATGGCCATGACGTCAATCATCATCCGCTTGAAGTGCTCAGCCAAGACTCTCCTTGATCTCCTCCTCGCCGTCCGCCTCACTCCCGCCGCCCCCCTCCCACGTCTCCTACATGTGATATGTTGACCGGGCGAGCGACGTCGTCTAAAGCACACTGGCCCTTTCGCAGATGGCCAAAGACGAGCCAAGAGTCGGGTGTTGCACTGATTTTCGCCGCATGCGCTTTCCGCGCTTGCCGCACGACGTCGGAGTTTGTGCGCGAGGGCCACTCAAGAGGTATGCGGGGCGGGAGCAGCAGTATTCTGCCCCTCCCCTGCTCGCACCCTCTCTCCTCCCCCTCCCCCCTCCAATCCCCCCCCCGCCGTGTCGACGATAAGCCTCCAGGCGGCTCCCAAAAGACGGAAAAAGGCCAGGGAGGGCCGCCGTTGCCTCGACTAGCCCTCCGCCGACCCTCTCTCGTCCTTCCTGCCACTGTGGGAACGTCTCCAACGTCGTCCCTCTCCCTGGCCCTTGTCGCAGAGCGCGCCTTGATAGTGCCGTCCTCCGAGCCAGAGTACATCCAGCTGCCACTCACGTCAAAGCCTAGGTGGCGCGCATAAGGCAATTACGGCAGAGAAGGAAGGCACCCACATGTGAACACGACACTGCAGTTCAAATTCGAAGGCAAACCTGGACTCGGAACTGAAAGGATGCCTGCAGCCCAGCGGCAATGTCCGATACCCCAGCGTCGATTGGACTCGAATTGGACGTAAGGTTCGCAAGTGGTCGCGGAGAGAGCGCCTGGCTGGTTGGCGCGGACGAGCAGCACTGCGCACTGCCTCCACAAAGGCGGGCGCGCGTGCTTTTGAAAGATATTCGCGCCCCCCTGGGCACTCCTCCCGCCATGGTTTCCGTTCGGCATCCTTCGGCGTAGCCTGGGCGCAGTGGAGCTTCGCCTGCTTGCAAGATGATGCGCAGATGTGCCCAGCGTCGGCGACGAGCAACAATCGGCGGTGTAGTAGCCGGGGGCAGAGGGACCAATCGAAACAAGTGCAGGTAAGCACCAGCAGGGGCGAGTACGAGTGGACAGGGGAACTTCGCACGCCAGAATTATCGAGGATAACTTTGGTGCGGGGAAATTGCAGTTTGGGCCCCCGAGGCGCGAATCTGTAGCTACTCCTGACCGCCCCCAGCCCTGATGATTCGGGAGGGTTCCGCGCCCAAAATATCCAGGATAACTGTGGTCCGGGGTAGCTCCAGATGGGGCCCCCGAAGCGCGAATACGTAGCTACCCCTGACTGTCCTCAACCCCGATGGTTCGGAGCTCTGAGAAAGAAGTCCGTGATCGGCGCTTCCACGACACAGTCTTGCGCATGGATCGGAGACCGTCGCATTTTGGATAGCTGGAGGGCCCCTCCTTTGGCAAGGATCTCTGTCCCAAGGATCTCCTCGTGTCAAGATTCACTCCCTTAAATTCCACATCCCATGAGTTCGCTGTCCCATGACAATTTTTCCCACTCGCGAATCGAAGCGTAATTTCTTCTGGTCGGTCTCAACCGTGCCGCGCACCATGGTGTATGTATGTGTGTATATATATATATATATATACATGTATGTGTGTCTTTGTGGGCCCGTCTTTTCACGAACGCCAGCCGAGGTGAGGCCAAGAGCCGCGTAATCGGATATCCATTAGCACTGGTATGGGCGCGATTCGCGAGGCCACGAGTGAGTAGCAACGAGCACAACGCCAAGGTTAAATACCCAAGACTGTGTCTGAGAGTGTGGAGACTGAAAATACGCGGTTTGGGGGCCACCGAGGAACTACAAAGCAATCGACGGCGTCGGAACGACGGCGACAGACAACAACGTAAAAGCACTGACAATGTCTGTGTGGGCCCGCCTTTTTACGAACGCCAGCCAGAAATTGGTCAAGAGCCACACATTCTGATATCCGTTAGCACTGGCACGGGCGCGATTCGCGAGGCCACGAATGAGTAGCAGCGAGCACAACGCCAAGGTTAAATAAACCTGAGCACCCATGTATAGGCGCCGGACGTGCGAAGCACGGCTGATATGAAGTGCTAGGCGAGCATGTGACATGCATCTTTCTGCTCAGGCCCAACATCTGACACACGTGCGAGCAGAAGGGCGAAGGATGCGGCTGAGCGATCCGCGTCAGCAATTCGCCCTGCGGGCTCTTGCCCACAAGTTGCTCGAGCACTCTGCCGGAAAAGCCGCATCGGCCAGCTTTCATACGACACCTGCGGAGCTCAACTAGTCCCGGGGTAGAGCAGGCGAAAAGGCGGGTGTCTTTCTGCCAGGGGGTACCGGACCCACAAAAACTAACCCCAGGAAGCATTTAAGAACCCCCCCCCCTCCGGCAAATCGATAACCCTTCCGAACCAGCATCCATATCCGCATCATCATCATCATCATCATCATCATCATCATCATCATCATCATCATCATCATCATCATCATCATCATCGTGTCCGGGTGCTACAGCTATCCTTCGGTTATTTCGGCCCTTCGGAATCTCGAATAAAAAATGCGGTGCTACGATATCGCCGGGGGGGGTCTTAAATGCTTCCTGGGGTTACTCTGGAATCTTACGAAGACTAAGACCTCCAGTCGCTTGAGTTCAGAGGTCATTCATATTGCAGTGCTCGCTGGATTCTCTATGCCACACTGCCGGTGGAATGCGGCAGCCCAACGGGCTAGTTTAGCTGATGCTCTCATCAGCTGATGCTCTCATCAGCTGGAACCAGACCTTAATTCAGAAAGTACGCGCAGGCCGTCGCTGAAGTCACTAAGGGAGGGGGGGGGGGGCAGTCTGCCCCCCCCCCCCCCCGTCTGGCTCTCGATCACGACGCATACGGGGTCCCCATCCAGACGAGCTTGCATTCGGAATGGGCGATGAGTGCTTTGATGGCTTTGAATACTTTGCTCCGTAGGGCGTTCCGATGGGGCGAGTCGCACATGTCAATGGAGAAACATATGTAACCACATTGGGCCGCAACGAACGAGAGGTGCTTATAACCTGAGAAGATCTCTACAACGGATTTCCTCTTCGAGGCGCTCCAGGCACCGCCTCCAGGATGCTCCGAGGATGGTCGGCAACGAGGCGGTGGCGAACAGGCAAGAGCATCTGGGGGGACTGGATAGTCGAACCTCCTAAGGTTGAAGGCGCGCAGTTGCTTCGCATCAGCGAAGAGACGAGTCGCTGGCCCACCTGCTTCGCTGCTTCACCTCGTCGCGGGGGAGGACGTCTGCCGACGGCCCTCTGCGCCGTCGCGGGGGGGGGGGGGTTGCGCGCGTCGCGCGCAAGTCGGGCTCGCGCTGCGCCCGCTTGAACACCGCCATGGGGCGCTGGGCGCTGAACTCGAAGAGGCGGCCCGACTTTCTGGCGAGCGCCCGCCTGCCGATCTCCAGCCCGAGGGGGCCGTGGCGCGGGTGGTCCAGCAAGACGCTCGCGTTGGCAACGAACGCTGTGGACGTGCCCCCGCGCCCCCCCGGGTGCAAGTTCAGCGCCAGCGCCCAGGGCAGCAGAAGGCGCGGCAGCATTGCATCCTCGGCGCGAAGTTCCCGCGTCTCGCAGGAATAAGGGCGCGCCGAGAACATCGCCAACGCCATCGGCGCTTCGGTCGGCATGTTCTTCCCGGTCATCGCGCGGGCGACCGCCGCCGCCGCGATCCACGGCGCGGGGGCCCGCGCGGCAGCGGGACTGGAGCGGCGCCGTTCTGCGAATGCTTGCGCCGTGCGTGGCAGCGCCGGGGCCCCCTCCATATGTTGCGGGCAGAAGGCCAAGAGAGAGGCGCAAGTCACCCGCGCCTCGCCGCGCGCGGCTCCGACGAAGAACCCGGCCTCGACCAGGTCCGCCATGCCCGCCCCCCCTCGGCCAGCGAGCCGAAAGACCCCTCGGCGCTCGCCGGGCGCTGGAGCAGGCGCCACAGCGATTCGAGGTACCTTTTCCATGTCGCGGCCCTCGCCGCGGACGTGGTGGGGAAGTTGGGAGGCGGATGGCCGAAGCGCATGGCCATGTCCTTTTCCTTCGGCGCGAGCTCGTTCGAGAGCGGGCCCGAGCGCATCAACTGGGACAGGGCCCTGGGCGAAATGCGCGCTGGGCGCGGAAGCCAGCGGCGCCTCGGCGCCTTCCCAGGGCCTAGAGCCCTCATCCGCTCATCCGCCGCATTCAACTCAGATGGATGCCACCGGCGCGACAGCGAAACATCTCCCGCGATACACCGTGCAAGTAACTTACGAATGCATTGAAGGACGCCGAAGGAAGCCGAACGCCGTTCCTCACAAGCCAAAACGAGTGACAGCTCACCCCCGCTATGCTGGCGTCGTTAACCAACATTCTGAGAAAACGAAGTGTGTGTCGTAGAGCTGATGCGGTTCCCCTCCCCTCCGAAATCCTGGTGTTTTGCTTTTTGACGAATTTCACGGCGTAGTAATTGCCGCCGTTCGGGATCAAGCCCCGTTTTAAGGACCTCATAGAACTCTGGGTTCTCCTCTATCATCTTGATCCCCTCCTCCTCCTTGTCGACCTTTTTTTGGGGGGGGGTCACGGCGGCAACGTCATTGAACGTGTCGGGACCCCCAAGACCCCTCTTGCGAGCCCGCGCTGCGGGGGCCATGGCACGGTGCCGAGACTTCTCCTTGACTCTACCACCCTGGGAGACGTCCTGGGTCGATGAGATCCGGGAGCACACCGCGTACCCACTGGGGCATGCATCTGAACTGGTAACGCTAGGACTCCACGCCCTATCCAATCTTGCATCGCTGAACGGAACCAGGATACTGAAAGTGCGAATCTCCTGAGTCGCTCTCCTCCACAACCGACCCAGCGACGATTGATGGGCACGGATGGAGGCATGGACATGATGGAAGATGGAGAAGAACTCCCTTCTCAGCAGGCAGATGTGGATGCAGCGCCCCGCGAACCGCTCCAGCGCGCGCCCGCTGACTCGGGGACGGCCGTGAAGCCATCGGCCCGCGGCCTCCAACAACTGCCACTTGCGGACTACAGGCGCCGCGGCGCGCGTGGCCCCGTTGACGCGGCAACTCAGGGAGACGGCGTCCGTCGTCGGGCCCACCAGCTCGTGGACAACGAAGCCCTTCTTCTCGAGATGATGCTGCTGCTGGTCGCGGATGTCACCCGCGGTGTCAGGGTCCAGGGCCATGACGATGATGTTGTCGGCGTAGGGCAGAAGCGACGCCCTGCCTGGCACCTCGGGGATGTGCCTCTCGTCAGTGATCGCCCTCTCGGCCTCGATGACTTTGGACTCCACGATCTGCTGGTGCACCACCCGCTGCGCGATCCACGCTGCCCGGTTCCAGCCCATCGGCGCGACCTTCAGGCAAGGCGCGACCGTCGCGCCAGGGGGCGGCAGCTTACTGCCGCCCAGCAGCTCTGCGAAGCCAGCAACCGACGAGACGTCAATCGGCGGCAGCGCGAAGTACTCCGACAGAACGTAGGGAATCCCCAACAAGTAAAAACATCGATATGTCCGCTTGCGCCACGTGCAGCTCAGCCTCCACAAGGACCGAGACGTCGGCCCACCGCGATCCGCGGGCCAGACCCATAGCAGGAGGTGCTC